CATTGTGTGTAAAACATCCAGAACAGGTAAATCGAGAGACAGAAAACAGATCAGCGGGTGCCAGGGGCTGGGGGAGGGGGTGGGGAGTGACTGCTGATGGGGGTGGGGTTTCCTTTTTGGGGGGATGGAATGTTCTGGAATTAGATAGTGGTGATGGCTGTACAACTCTGTGGATGTACTAAAAACCACCCAAGTGTACACTTTCAAAGGGTGGATGTTATGGTATGTGACATATCTCAATAAAGCTGTTATTTAAAGAAAAAGGAAGGAGGAGTGGTGATGGCTGTACAACTCTGTGGATGTACTAAAAACCACCCAAGTGTACACTTTCAAAGGGTGGATGTTATGGTATGTGACATATCTCAATAAAGCTGTTATTTAAAGAAAAAGGAAGGAGGAAGGCAGCAGGGAGACCCTGGACGAGGCTGGGTGGCCCCAGGCGGCAAAGGTGGAGAAGTGGGTGGGTTGGGGGATCTCCCACAGGTGCAGGGACTGCCGGTGGGAGTCCGGGAGAGGGGAGAGGGGGACGGGGCCGGCCGACCAGGGCAGGTGTTACATGTGAATCAAGAGTTCAGGTTTGGGCTTCCCTGGTGGCGCAGTGGTTGAGAATCTGCTTGCCAATGCAAGGAACACGGGTTCGAGCCCTGGTCTGGGAAGATCCCACATGCCACGGAGCAAGTAGGCCCGTGAGCCACAACTACTGAGCCTGCGCGTCTGGAGCCTGTGCTCTGCAACAAGAGAGGCCGCGATAGTAAGAGGCCCGCGCACCGCGATGAAGAGTGGCCCCCGCTCGCTGCAACTAGAGAAAGCCCTCGCACAGAAACGAAGACCCACACAGCCAAAAATAAATAAATAAATAAATAATTAAAAAAAAAAAAAAAGAGTTCAGGTTTGCCCAGTGGGGCAGTGGTCCTCTCTCGGCATCCCTGGGCCAGGTGGTTACCCTGGCAACCAGGCACAGGGTCTGAGGCCGGTTCCTGGACCTGAAGCACGGAGGGGGGGTGGGGGAGGGTCTGCGTTACCTCGATGACAGGGTCGGTGGAGTACTGCTTCAGGATCTCCAGCACCTCTGGGTTCCCAATGGCTCCCAGGGCCTCCCCTGAGAAGAATGGGGCAGAGAGCTCATGTTGGTTGGCTGGGAAACGCCCTGCATGCCTCGGCTGGTGGAGAGGCGCTAACCAGCACCAACGCCTCCTCCGTGATGCCCCTCCCCATTGCTCTGCCTGTATCCTGTGGGCCGCTCCAGCCACTGAGGTTAGGAGCTGGAGCCGGTCCAGCCGTGAAGCTGTGCCAGTTACAGTCCCTTCCCCAGAAATCAGGCTTTGCTGGAACCAGACTCAGACCCCGCCCCGGCCCGCACCCCCAGAGCTCATGGCCTAGAGGGGAGACACAGACAAGCGTGTCATTACAACTTGGGGACACGGGTGGCAAGGAGCCAAGAACAGTTGGCTGAGTCAAGCGCATCAAGGGGAGCCCTGAAAACCTGGAGGAGGTTTTTAAGTTGTACTGTGGGCAAGGAGGGTCAGCAGACCAGCACCATCCTGCCTCAGGGCCTTTGCAAAGGCTGTGCCCGCTACCTGGAGCACCTTTCCCCAGACATCTACCTAGATAACTCCCTTACTTCACTTAGGTCTTTTAATTGGTAACCGCCAATTAAAAATGGCAACACCGGACTTCCCTTGTGGTCCAGTGGTTAAGACTCTGTGCGTCAAATGCAGGGGGTGCGGGTTTGATCCCTGGTCGGGGAACTAGGATCCCACATGCCCTGTGGCGAGGCCAAAAAAAAAAAAGGCAACACCTCCAGCACCCCCATCCCGTCCACTGCTTTATTTTCCTCCTTAGCACTTACATAAGTGTTTCCACCATAACATGATTGGGTGTTCTACAAAATCACACACTCAAACTAACAGCGCTTATGGGACAAGAGAGGTTTGGGGTCGAACATTCTTTGTAAGGAGAGCTCCAACAGCATCGGTGATTGGGATCTTGAGAGGTCCCCAGGGCAGCCTGGCATAGCTGGAGATCATCATGGGGAATATTAAAAAGGCCCAAAAACAATCAAATGGAAACAACGCCCCCTGCTGGCTATGAGCTCACTGGATACATCAATACAAACGCAGCCTCGGCTGCACAGACCCGCCAAGGATGTTTCTATTCCATCTTGTTTGCCGTCGGAGTCCCTTGTGAGAACAGGGCCTGGCCCACAGCAGGCAGTCCGTAAACATGTCCGGTGAGCGAACTGAATGAGTGACCTCAGGGTTGACCATCCACGGCCACCATCCAAAGACACCATATGTCTTTGTATGAACGAAGAATGGTTTTTCCATTTTTAAATGGTTTTTGAAAAATCAAAAGGGGACTTCCCTGGTGGTGCAGTGGTTAAGAATCCGCCTGCCAATGCAGGGGACACGGGTTCGATCCCTGGTCTGGGAAGATCCCACATGCCACAAAGCAACGAAGCCCGTGAGCCGTTTAAAAAAAAAAAAGAAGAAAGAAAAAAAATCAAAAGGATCACATTTTATGATGCGTAAAAGTGATGTGAGATTCAAATCTCAGGGCCCATAAAGTTGGACTGGCTGGCGGCCACACGCCCATCTGTTGACTGGGGTTCAGGGTGGCTCTTATGCTGCAGTGGCAGAGTTGAGACCCGGGACAGAGATCCTGAGAAAATGTTTATCGCCCACCCCTTCCAGAGCCAGCCTGGTATAGCCCGCACCCTCACCGCCACTCACCTGCCTCGTGGCGCACCATGGGCTCCTGGCGGGTGTCACAAAGCACGTCCACCAGCACGGGGATGGCCCGTGAGTCCTGCATCTGACCCAGGCAGTAGGCCAGCTCGTGCTTGAGCAGGGCCGAGTCGTCGCTGAAGGCCCGGCTGATCCAGGAGATGGCTGCTGGACCCCCGAGCCCGCGCAGTGTGAACAACGCCCGGAAGCGGGCCCGCAGGGGCTTCTGGGGGTCCACCAGCATCTGCCCCAACCCCTCCACCTCCTGCTCCGTCACCATGGCTCTGCCGCTGGGCTTGGGCTAAACCAGGGGACTCGTGGGCTCGAGAACCTGCAGCAGAAAACCAAGAGGCCAGGTGAGAGGTGCCCTTTGCCGCTCGCTGACTTGTTCGTTTCAGTGTTAGGACCTCAGGGGTGGGGGTGGTTTCCTAACTGCTGACCAGCCTGGCCATCTGGGTTCAAAGCCCAGCTCCGACCCTGCCTACTTGCTGTGTGGCCTTCCCTAAGGTACTTTCCCTCTCTGAGCCTCTGGCCTATACAGGAAGTCCCCTACATATAAACGAGTTCCCGTTCTGAGAGCATTTCTGTAAGTCCAATTTGTTCATAAGTCCAACAAAGTTAGCCTAGGTACCCAACTAACATAATCGGCTATAGAGTACTGTAATAGGTTTATAATACTTTTCACACAGATAATACACACACACACAAAAATAAAGGACACTGAGAAGTTTCTCTATCTCCTCCATCATTTTTCCACGCTTCTTTGGTATTATCGTCAACATCATTGGTACAGCAGATTTCACATGTTCCATGATCTTGTACTTATTCTTTAGAATTGTTCTTATGGCTGAACCATTCATGTTACAAGAACGAGTGACGTCTACCATCTTTTTGCCTGGCCCCAGTCTCTCAATTATTGTCACTTTTGTTTCCATCATTATTGCTTGGCGGTTCTTAGCAGTACCAGCTACATCACCGCTGCTTTTACGCTTGCTTCCGGACATCCTGGGCTTGAAATAAAGATACTGTACAACCGTACTCTACACAGTACCATACAGTAAAGTACACGAAAGCACAGCCACTTGTAGAGGAGGCACACACGTGACAAGGTACGCCAGACACACGAACTAACTTACTGGACATGTGAACGCATGTCCACATCTTTGAAAGTTCGCAACTTGAAGGTTTGTATGTAGGGGACTTACTGTCCACTGGCAATGACCTCTGCTGGTCTGCTCTCTACACAGCAGCCAGAGGGAATGTGGTAGCTGGTCCCCAAGATGACCCTCAATGACCCCCACCTCCTGGTATCCGTGCCCTGTGTGGCCCCCTCCCACACCAAATAGAGCTGACCTGGGTGAATAACAGGATATGGGAGAAATGGCAGTGTGACTTCTGAAGGTCATAAGGGACACTGTGGCTTCCTCCTTGCTGGCTCTAGCGGAAGCCAGCAGCCATACTGTGAGGAGGTTCAACCAGCCGTATGTAGGGGCCCAAGTGGTGGGGAACGAGGCCTCCCACCAACAGCCAGGTGAGAGCAGCGGGTTGAGAGCAGCTTCTCCAGCCTTCAGATGACGCAGCCCCAGCCAGTGTCTGCACTGCAGCATCACAAGAGATGAGAGCCAAAACCACCTGGCTAAACCAGGCCCAGATGCCTGGCCCACAGAGACTGTGGAAAGTAGTGTTTACTATTCTTTAAAGCTACTAAGTATGGGGTAATTTGTTACAAAGCACAGGTAACTAATAAAAGAATCCTTTCAGTATATAAACTGGACCCTGTGACTCCCTCACAAAATCCTCCTATGGGCCTCAAGACTCCAAACTCCTTAACTGTCCCAACGGCCCTGCACGACCGGCCCCCATCACCTCCCCACCCTCCCCTCCTCCCTCTCTCCCCCTCACTCACTCTGCTCCACCAACCAGGCTTCTCCACTGTTCCTCCAACACACCAGGCACAGTCCTGCCCCAGGGTCTCTGCACGGGCTATTCTCACCCTCAGGAACACTCTTCACCAAATGCCCCCATGCTCACTCTCTCATTTCCTTGGGTCGTAAATGCCACCTCCTTGGGGAAGCCTTCCCTGATCCCGGTCTTGTTCTGCTTTATCTTTCTTTGAAGCAATTACCACCACGAGATATCATATTTGATATTTCGTTTTAGCTGCTTATGGTTGGTCTTAACCCTCGTATGAGAGCTCTGAAGGCAGGGACTGAGTCTCTCTTAGTCAGGGCTGTACTCCCAGCCCACAACTCCTCAGTAAGAACAATGACCATAATAATAACAGCATCTGACATTTATATAGGATGTGCTATGTGCCACATTCCTGAACTCATTCCATCCTCGCCATAACTCTTTGAGACAAGCACCATGATTGTCACCATTTTACTGCGGAGGACACACAAGCACAAAGAGGTCAATCACTTGCTTAGGAACCGCTGAAGAGTTATAAATCCAGGCAGCCGGGCTCCCGAGTCAAGCTCTAAACCACAAACGCCACGTTGAATAGATGGATTAAGATTAAAGGACACAGCTGAGGCTGGGCTCCATCCTCCAGACTAATGACATGCTTCGTGAACCTGACAAGCAGGCTGTAGCTCCCAGAGGCGTCAGTAGGGCTGAGCAGGTATAATGGGGGAAGTGCAGATGCCTGCGCACAGGTGACCATCAAAGAAGGTGACATGCAAAAGAGTGATCATCAGAAACCACAGAAGCCAGGGGTGAGCAAGCTGGCAAGGCATTATGGACCATCGAGACCCAACTCTTTCTACACAGATGAGCTGTGACCTGTCTGGGGTCACACAGCAAGTCAAGTGCAGACAGCGCCCAGGACTCATGAATCCCGGTCTGTACAGGGCCTCCCTCAAGACACAAAGGAGAGACACACACTATTTTGTTCGCTGTTGTATCCCCAAGGCCCAGCACAGTGTCTGTCGCTATGGCAGCAGGCACTCAATAAGTATTGTTGAATGAATTGGGCACCCACTGCCTGCCAGGCACGGTACTGAGTGGTTTATACACAGTATAAATCTGTATCATCTGTAAAATAGGCGTAAAGGGCACATGGACAATCAATCACAGAGTTGCTGTGAATGGAATGATGCTCATAGAGCACTTAGTACCGACTGCTGGTACTTAGTAGGCACTTGATAAACCAGAGTTGGTATTAAATATTTCCACAGGGAGGGCCTTCCCTGGTGGCGCAGTGGTTAAGAATCCACCTGCCAATGCAGGGGACACGGGTTCGAGCCGTGGTCCGGGAAGATCCCACATGGCGCGGAGCAACTAAGTCCGTGCGCCGTAACTAGTGAACCGACTCTCTAGAGCCCGCGGAACACAACTACTGAGCCCACGCGCCTAGAACCTGTTCTCCTCAACAAGAGGAGCCACCGCAGTGAGAAGCCTGCGCACCGCAACGAAGAGCAGCCCCCGCTCACCGCAACTAGAGGAAGCCTGCGCGCAGCAACGAAGACCCAACGCAGCCATAAATAAATTATTTATTTAAAAAAAAATCTCCACAGGGAGCCCAACACCCACCTCTATACGCAGGAGGACAAGTAAGGGGGTACACCTGGAAGCCCGCTACCCATATATTAGGCCCATTTTTCAGTGGGAAGGGGGACAGGGGTATGGACATGGGGTTGAGGGGATCAGCCCCCAACCAAGGCAGAATCTGGGAATCCGCTCCCTTGAGGATTTTCTAAACCAAGAATTACCAACAAAAAGATCTCCGATAGGGCTTCCCTGGTGGCGCAGTGGTTGAGAGTCCGCCTGCCAATGAGGGGACAAGGGTTCGTGCCCCGGTCCGGGAAGATCACACATAGCGCGGAGCGGCTGGGCCCGTGAGCCATGGCCGCTGAGCCTGCGCGTCCGGAGCCTGTGCTCCGCAACGGGAGAGGCCACAACAGTGAGAGGCCCGCGTACCGCAAAAAAAAATATATATATATATCTCCCATAACTAGACGCGCCCCTCAGAGAGGGGTCGCCCCGACATGGCATACCTCGGGGCTGCCGGCAGGATCCCCCAGCGACGACCAGCTCCCCAACTCTCGTTGGAAGAGACTCCCAGGAACTGTGTGTCTCCAGCTCTGTTTATGTGGATCCCCCAGTACTGGATCCCTCACAGGTTGGTTTTCCCAGAACCCCAAGAAAGGGGTTGCCCAACATGGGACCCCCGCCCCACGTGCTGACTCTTTAGTGAAGAGATCCCCGGAGGCAGAGTCTCCAGAATTCATGGGGAAGAGCTTGCCGGGACCTGTCAGAAGGAAGCTCTTCGACCCCCCCAGCCAAAGAATCCCAGAGCCGGGACCCCCAACGAGGCGTCCTCCACGTTTCCCCCGCCGCCGGAACGCCCCAGCGAGCTCCCGGATCAGAGGACCTACCGGACCGGCCTGCTCCCGCCGCTGCCACCACCCGCAACGCTTCTAAAGCGCTCTGGGGGCCGCCATCTTGCCGCCCACGTGACAGAGCCGGACGGTACCAACGCAGCACCGAGGGGGAAATCTAGTCAAAGGCTCCGCAGCGTGAGGAGGCTCGGAAGCGCGAGTTAGCACCGATGCCAAAGCTCACACTCACACATAAGGCGGAGTCTAAGGCATTTCTCAGGGAAAGGGAAGGGCAACGTTCATCCTCTCCCTGCAAGAGATTTTCTCCGGCCTCCCCAGCCGGTACGACGAGTGGAAATGGTTTGTGCCGATTCAGCCCGGAGGTGGGGCCGCCTAGCGATAGAGCATGCGTCGTGTCCCTGGGGCGTGGTAAGTTTCAGGGGCGCGGCCAATGGACTCGCGTGGCTAGACGCGAGATTGGGAGGGATGAAAACAAGGACTTGATCCAGTCGTTCATTTATTCATTCATTTAACAAATAGTTTATGGGCGCTGAGGACAAGACGGCCTGCAGCCCTTACCCTTATCAACCTCACAGTCTGGTTGTCTGAAGGAGACAAACAGTAATAGGATAAGTAAAAATACATATTAGGTGGTGACAGGCTGAGGAGGAAACAATAGTCACGTTGGTGCGTGTATGGGGTGGGCAGTTTTAGGAAGGACTTGGCTTTACTCTGACAAAATGAGAAACCACTGGAGTGTCGTAATCAGGGAAATGGCATACTCTGACTGTTAACAGGATCATTCAGGCTGGTGAGTAGAAAACAGACAGGAGGGACGGTGAAGGGAGAGAGTATTCAGATTCTGGATTAATTCTGAAGGTGGAGCAAACAGGATTTGTGGCTGGATTGGATACGGCATTTGGAAGAAAGAGTTATGTTAAGGCTAAGTACAAGGTTT